CTCCTGACCTCGTGATCCACCCACCTCGGCCTCCCAAAGTGCTGGGATTATAGGCTTGAGCCACGCACCCAGCCCCTAGAATTCTTACTGTATTTATTTTAAATAGTTTGGAAATCCTGGTATTTTGAAAAGACATTGTTCCTATAGAGTTGTGTGATGAGTGTTATAGCTGTTATATACACATAAATATAATTTTGTTTTTCTTTTAAGAGAGGATTATTTTTATCCTAAGTATTTTATCTTTAAATCTTTGTATGTATTATTACATGTGGTGGTGAAGGGATGACACTTTTTTTCTCTGATACTTACTTAGTATATTACCTTTATAGCTACATGGTAGTTCCCCTAAATTCCTGTAAAAATAAATTTTTATTTGATGTTAAGTGTATGTTTTTGAAATGTGAGAATTCAGACATGATTTTTTACCTCATATTGACATGTTTGTATGTTAAAGAGGATGTATGTTTTAAAGGAGGACATGCACTGTGTGTTTTCAAGAGAACAGAGCAGTGCATGTATTGGGGAAATGTAATAAAGATGAAGTTTTTTCACCTTTATAGAGTCATATTGCTCTGGATTGCTTATTTCCTATCAAGTGACATTTTTCCTTAATGTTATTTGGAAAAATGTCCAAATATTTGGTTATTTGAACATATTTATTAGCTCTGGAAGATAATCCCGTTATTTTTCATGTAGAAAAAAACAAAGCTGTGCTCAATGCTCACATGTATAATCCCAGCACTTTTAAAGTCATGGCAGGAGGATCACTTGACACCAGGAGTTTGAGACCAACCTGGGCAACATAGCATCTACATCTATTTTTTAAAAAGAAAAAAAATAGAGAAGGCCAATCCCAAGCTTAGAGATTTTTGTTTATTTTGTTTTTCTGAGACAGAGTCTCGCTCTGTCGCTCAGGATCAAGTACAGTAGTGCAGTCTTGGCTTACTGCAACCTCCACCTCCTGTGTTCTAACCATTCTTCTGCCACAGCATCCCAAGAAGCTGGGACTACAGGTGTGTGCCACCACGGTGAGGTAATGTTTGTATTTTAATAGAGACTGCACCATATTAGCCAGGCTGAACTCAAACTCTTGACCTCAAGTGATCCGCCCACCCTGGCCTTTCAAATTGCTGGGATTACAGGCATGAGCTACCATGCCCAGCCCCTAAGCTAGAGATTTAAAGCAGGAAATGAGAGAAAGACATTGAGAGAAGAAAACCAGGTGGTAAAAATACTCTAAAGGTTTTTATTTTCTAGCGTTTCTAAAGTGGCTCACACCTGGGATCCCAGCAGGAGTTCCAGACCAGCCTGGCCAACATGGTGAAAGCCCATCTCCACTAAAAACACAAAAATTAGCCAGGAATGGTGGTGGCCACCTGCAATCCTAGCTATTCGGGAGGCCAAGGCAGGAGAAATCACTTGACCCTGGAAATTGGAGGTAGCAGTGAGCAGAGATTGTGCCTCTGCACTCCAGCCTGGGTGTCAGAGCGAGACTCTGCTTTCCAAAGAAAAAAAAAAGTTTCTGCAACATTTGAGCCATTAAAGACAGGCACTGCAATTTTTTTTATTTTTGGAGTTGGGATCTTGCTCTGTCACCTATGCTGGGCTGCAGTGGTGTGGTAGCTCACTGTAGCCCCAGACTCAAGTTCAAGTGATCCTCTTACCTTGCTTCCCGAAGTGCTGGGATTACAAGCATGAGCCATCACAGCTGTCCTGTATGACACAATTCTGATGTCAACTCCCTGATGTTAACATCAAATGCCACAAGTTAAGGCCACAAACCCCCACTAGGCTGCCTTCACATTAGATGCAAGCTGCAAGTTTGGGTGTGCTCAGATCACATGTACTTCTCACCAACTGGCTACAAATTCAGAGGTTCCCACAGTGTCCTCCGGTTTGATAATTTATAACAACTCAAAGAACTCAGAAAAGCAAGATACTTTTTTGTTAGATGAAGTCTCACTGTTAAGCAAAAGTACAATGGCACAATCTCAGCTTACTGCAACCTCTGACTCCCAGGTTCAAATGATTCTCTTTGCCTCAGTCGGGATTACAGGTGAGTGCCATCATACCTGGCTAATTTTTGTATTTTTGGTAGGGTTTCGCTGTGTTGGCCAGGTTGGTCTTGAACTCCCAAACACAAGTGATCTGCCTGCCTCAACTTTCCAAAGTGCTGGGATACAGGCATGAGCTTCTGTGCCCAGCTGAGCATGATATTTCCATTACAATTTTATATAAGAAAAACTGACAAAAGTAACACCAGTCAAAAGCAGAGACACGTAGTATAAACTCCGAGAGAGTCCTGAAGATGACATTTCTGTGTCCTCAGGATGCATCATCCTCTCAGCATACTGATGTGTATCTCAAACCAGGGAAGATCACCTTAGCTTCCACGTCCAGGGGTTTTATCACAGCAGGTGGGTTGATGCAATCATTGGCCAGGCAATTGAGTCCATCTCCAGCCCCCCAGTTCCTTTCTGGAGGTCGGGCTGACATTATGTGGCTCAACATCACAACCTTCAAATCACATGGTTTGGTCTTTCTGGTGTGGTTGCCCCCTGGCCAAGTCATCTGGTTAGCATGCACTCAGTTGTGACCCTGGGGTGGCCACTATGAGTAACAGACACACCTGTCATTCAAGAAATTCCATGGATTTAGAGGCTGGCTACCTCCAGGAATCAGAGACAAGACCAGAACCAACAGGGAAAAGAAGACCAGGGAAGTGTCAGAACAGCAAAGAAATAAATTCCTTTTTTTAAAAATTTTGTGTAAATGAGTTTATTGACAAAGACACAAGGTCACACTTCCCCCAACCCCCACCCTCCCCCAAAACAGGACCCTACAAGAACAGAGGAATGAGAAGCATTCTCATGGTAACATTTTTGCCACCCCGCCCCCCTTCCGATTTCTTTCCAAAGACTCAAGCTTCACAACACAGACACACAGAGCAGGCTTGGGTGAGGACAGACACTCAGGGAATCTCTGACCAGCAAAAGAGTTCTGGGTGTTTGCTTCTCCTTCCCTTTGTGTGATGCCTTACAAAAACACACTTAGGCAGAGGAGGGGGCATGCAGAGCAACCTCCACTCACTTCCCTAATTTGGCCAAGCTTGGAATGAGCCAAGAGAGAAGTTGTGGTGGAGGCAACAGTTTCTGCCTCTCAGGAGAGGACCTTCCCATAATAAATTCTACTTCCCATAATAAATTCCTTTTTATATGTGTATATATAATGTATATAAAATATATATTTAATGAATTAATGTATTAAATATGTAGATTGTTTTATAAATATAAATGTCATATTTTCATATAACATAAACATTATACATATATAAATATATGTTTCTCCCTTTATTTACTTATGAGATGAGTTGGAGTCTCACTCTGTCGCCCAGGCTGGAGTGCAGTGGCATGATCTCAGCTCACTGCAACCTCTGCCTCTTGAGTTCAAGTGATTCTCCTGCTTCAGCCTCCCCTGTTGCTGGGATTACTTTTGTTAAATTTGGCCTAAACCTGCCTCATAAACAGTGAATTTATCCTAATTTAAGTGTGTAAACCTTTTGCTAAGGTAATGTAAAAGTAAAATTAAAGAAAATAAGGAAAAAAGAGCATAAACCTTTGTGAAAAAGCCTTTAGGCCTTGTCAGTTCCTAGAATGTATTTATTTCACTACACTGGGGACTCCATTTCCAGTGTTAAGGTCCATTTTCAGAAGACTGGGCAAGCATCAGACAGGGGGTGGGGAGGAATTATACAAACAATTGAGTCCAGGTGGTGGTCCTAGGACCCAAGGGGCCCCTCTGTATGGCAGGGGCACCCAACAGCCGTAACTGATGTGTTCCCTGAGAATGACTTTATGGTCTAAGAAGAACGTGTGTTCTCAGCCCCAAGCTAAGGAATCAGGAGTGGCAAGACCCCAGAAGGATGCCAGCTTATGAAACCCCAAGTCAAGAGGTCTAGCAGGGCACTTGGTTTCTCAGGTCACACACTTGGCCCTCTTCCAAGTTGTACTATCCTTCTTTCCTTTCCTTTTCAGTAAACATTTTTTTTGAGATGGCATCTCACTCTATCACCCAGACTGGTGCACAGTGGCACCATCTCAGTTCATGGCAATGGCCGCCTCTCAGGTTCAAGCAATTCTCCTGCCTCAGCCTTCTGAGTAGCTGGTCTGAGACCACTACCTCACCTGGCTAATTTTTGTATTTTTAGTGGGAATAGGGTTTCTCCATGTTGACCAGGTTGGTCTCAAACTCCTGACCTCAAGTGATCTGCCCACTTCAATCTCCCAAACTGCTGGTATTACAGGCTTGAGCCGCGGCCCTGGCCTTTGTGTGTGTGTGTGTGTGTGTGTGTGTGTGTGTGTGTGATAAGTCTCCGGCCAGGCTGGAGTGCAATGGCATGATCTTGGCTCACTGCAACCTTCGCCTCCCAGGTTCAAGCGATTCTCCAGCCTCAGCCTCTCTACTAGCTGGGATTACAGGTGCCCGCCAGGACACCCAGCTATTTATTGATTGTTGGCCAGACTGGCCTCAAGTGATCCACCAACCTCTGCCTCCCAGAGTTCTGGGATTACAGGCGAGGGCCACCGATGCACCTGGCAGGCATGGAAGAGGTTCCCTTGGGTCCTGCTCAGAGGAGTTACGCTGGGGAAAGCAAGTGGAGGTGCTCCTTGAAGAAAATAGGGAATCTCACATCTCAGGGGTTCTGTCCTGGCCTGCCGCCCTGGATCGTCCAGCCTGGGTCGGGGTGGGAAGACCTTGCCCTTCTTGACTGGGTTTGAGTGTGAGTGTCCCATTTCGCCAAGGCCTAGCCCGCGGTTCCCAGTCCCTAGCACCACCCAGCAGCTCCCGGCTGCCCCTCCCCTCCAGACCTGGCACTCGCCCTCAACCAAAATGGCGCCGACGGCCTCAGTACGTCAAGCGACGTGCCCGCCGGCCTCCTCCCGCGCTTCTTTTATCCCCGCAGCCGGAAGCCGAGCAGCAGAGGGTCCGCGGTAGGTTTAGGCAGCGCCAGGGCTGTTGTGTGGCTGCACGGTGGTGCTGCAGGGCGGGATGCTGTACCCCCGGGAGAGCCCGTCATGGAAGTGCAAGGAGCTGGACAGCCCCTGGAGCTTCCGCGCCGACTTCTCCGACGACCGGCGCCGGGGCTTCCAGGAGCGGTGGTAGCGGCCGCTGCTGCGGTACTTAGGGCAGGGCCGAGAGGCACACAGAAGCCGGGCGGAGGGAGTAGGGGAGCCTGGGCCGCCTCGCAGGCTCCTTTCCCTTGTCGCCCGGGGGTTGGGGGCCCAGAGGAGGTTAAAGGTCAGTGGGCTTGGGAGCGCTGGGTTGGAGGAGTGGGGCAGGGAGGGGACCCAGGAGGACTGCTGCGGAGGAGGAGGAAGCGCCCCTGCCGAGCCCCCTCCCGAGGCGAAGGCTGAGCCCGGGCAGTGTCCTTTTTTTTAATGTTTGTTTTTAATTTTTAAAATATTGCAGTGGCGCAATCCTAACTTCTGAGCTCAAGCGATCCTCCTGCCGCAGCCTTGCAAGTTAGCTAGGGGGCTCCACGCCTGGCTAATTAAAAAAAATTTTTCTTTTAGATATAGGGTCTCACTACTTTGCCCAGGCTGGTTTCGAACTCCTGGCCTCAAGCCATCGTTTTATGTTGACCTTCCAAAGCACTGATTACCGGCAGGAGCCACCCAAACACTCCTCCCAGTAGTCGGGCCAGAGCCTCTTGGGCTGCACAGAGCTGGACCTGAGGATGGGGAGGAGGAGACAGTTTAAACATCCTGAGGTCAGCTCTGCAAAGAAGCCAGGAATGTAACTTGGTCCCAGATCTGTTTGGGGGCCTAGGAGCTGAGCTCCACCCTTCTCTCCACAGTTTGGCCCCACCCTGGACATGCAGGTTCTCTCCAGCTTCAAGAACATCTGCCAGGACTCGCGGCTATGGCTTTTGTCAGCTGGGTGTGGCACAAATGGGATGTGACCTTGCCAGAGTGGTGGATCCAGGACCTGCAGAGAAGAGTGGTGCTGAGGATTGGCAGTGCCCACTCCTATGCCATTCTGGTGAGTGCAGCCAGGAGCACGTAGGGCAGGTGGGTGGGTGTGGCTGCTGAACAGCATGGGAGTCCCAGGTGCCACCCACAGCCTGTCTCCTGGGTTGGAACGGTGAGGGGCCCTTCCTTGCTCTGCCCTGGAGGCTGTTCCCTGTGTAGGGGGATAGGTGACCTAGTCTACCCCATTGGGATGCCATTCTTCCCATCTGGCTGGCAGGCCTCAGCTCTATGCTGCAAGTTATGAGGGAGTGCCCAATAACATGGCCCCTCCTCATGCACTGACCTGCCACCCCCTCCCCATATCTCCAGTGTCTGTGATGGGTGAACGGGGTCGATGTGCTAGAGCATGGGGGTTTACCTCCCCTTCAAGGCCAACATCAGCAGCCTGGTCCACCCCGTCACTATTGCCATCAACGACACACTCCCTCCATCCAGCCACCAGGGATCATCTGCTACATGACTGACACCTGCAAGTGGGTACCATCCTGCCTCTACCACACGCCCCCACCTCCCCAGCCCCACCTCGTAGTCTTCCTGCTAGGGATAGATTTGCCTTCACAGAGTGGAGGGGCCTGGATCTGGGGAGGCCACAGACATGTGGGCTGAGGTTAAACAACCCACAGCAGGGGTCCAGCAAACCACAGTTCTCCCACCCTGGATATCCCAAGGGTTACTTTGTCCACAACACAGACTTTGACTTCAGCCCGGCGGGACTGCAGCGGTCTGTGCTTCTGTTCACGACACTCACCACCTGCATTGATGACATCACCATCACCGTCACCACCAGCGTGGAGCAAGACAGTGGTGAGAGCTTCCAGTAGGATCCTTTCTCAGCGGGGCCCAGGGTGGCTCTGTTTGTTCCCTGTTTGGCTCTCCCAGGAAAAAGGTTCTCCCAGCATCTCTAAACCCTCCCAGGTTCCCATCCACCTACAAAGCTCAAATCCAGACTGTCCTGAGCGGGCACCGGCTCCCAAAATCACCTGTGTGGTTGACCTCATTTGGAGAAGAGGAGTCTTCTTGCCTATGGTCACACAGCTCAGGGTGGCAATCCTGTCCCTTTCCCATGGAGCTACCCTCACTCCAGCTCCCCTTGGTACACATTGTGCTCAAGGAACAGGCAGCTTACCAGGTACTCCCTGTGGCCCGAGGCCCCTCCCTGTGGCCCCAGGCTCCCACCAAATCCCTGAGCAAATAGTGCAGTGTTGCCAGTCTGTGGTTTCATGTTGAACTAATTAAATGCTCAAGTGCTGTTTAACTGTGTGCCTCTCTCCATCCTTTAATGACCCCTGATGCCCACATGGCTCATGAGTGAAGATGTCCCCACCCCAGATGCCCCTTCCCAAGGTGTGCTTTCAGGACTCAGCTCCCAGCCATTAGGGATAGGGTGGGACCAGGGCAGGGGTTCTCCTGACTCCTGATACCTGTTCGCCTGCCCCCCAGCGTTACTGCCACCTGCTATAGGTGACTGAGAAGTGGGCCTAGGGCACCTTCAGACTCAACCCCAATGATGAGGACATCCACACAGCCAGCGAGCACCACCTGAAGGTAAGATCCCTGCAGCCCCACTGCTTTCCTGGCCTCCCGTCTTCACCTGGCCCTGGGCCACTTGGAGCATTAGCACCATTGTTCCATTTACTTCACCATTGGCAGACAGCAGTGACGATCTCAGGACATGGCCAGTTGCAGTGGCTCATGCCTATAATCCTAGCACTTTGGGAGGCTCTGGTGGAAGGATCACTTGAGGCCAAGAGTTTGCATGGGCAACATAACAAGGTTTCATAACTACAAAAAATTGAAAGAAAAAAATGAACAACAGGGCTAAGCAGAATTGGTGAGAGATTTGGGCAAGACCTGGGGCCCTTGGGTAGGGAGGGAGGTTGGCAGGGCTGATGAAAGCTGCCCTGCCTGGATTGACTCCTCTGGGCATCTAGACTGTGACCCTGGGCCTCCCTTCACTTCCAAGAGCTCATTAGCAAAACTGCTGGGAAGCTGCACACGGGATGCAGCTGGAATGACCAGGTGCCTCTAGCCCCTCCAACCCCCTGCTTTTTGCTGTCCCAATGTTGGGGAGCCCAGGGGGCAGTTAGAGCTCAGCAGGGTCCTGGCTCCCCAGGGAAGCAGCTCATCAGCCTCCCTGAGCATCACCTCCTGCTTGCACAGGTGGTCATGGAGCTTAGACTATGGATGTGGCAGACCTGCTCGATGCTCTCCGGCCTCTTGTGGGAGCCCATCAGGACCATGGTGGATCCCACAGAGGTGTGAGTCCCAAGGCACACCCAGGGGTTAGAGAGAGGTGTGATGGCATCCTGAACAGCAGAGTAGGTGGCAGGGACAAACAGGGTGGAGATGCCAGGCCTGGGGGACGGGTATTACAGAACGCCGAGATTGAGGCAGAACAGCCAGGAGTGGGGCATTTCCTGCAGTCCCCAATACTCCCATGGCAGTCTAGCTCAGCAGGCAGGGAAGAGTCACCCTTTGTGGGGCCTGGTGTGGTGGCTCATGACTGTAATTCCAGCACTTTGGGAGGCAGAGGCTGGTGGATCACCTGAGGTCAGGAGTTCACGACCAGCCTGGCTAACATGGTGAAACCCTGTCTCTAATAAAAATACAAAAATTAGCCAGACGTGGTGGTGTGCACCTGTAATCACAGCTACTTGGGAGGCTGAGGCAGGAGAATCCCTTGAACCCAAAAGGCGGAGATTGCAGTGAGCTGCGATTGCATCACTGCACTTCGGCCTAGGAGACAGAGTGAGACTCCACCTCAAAAACTAAAAAATAAAAAGGAAGAGAACTCATCCTTTGCAGATTTGAGGGAAAGAAACTAAGGCACTAGCTTGGCTGTGCCTGGAGCAGTCTCTCCCCACTCTGCCTGTGTCCCACGTCTCCCGCATTATGTGTCCCCACCCAGCCCATCTGGTGAAAGGCAGAGGCAAAGGCTGCCTCCTGCTGGCCTCATCCCAGGCTTTGGCTTCTGGGACCTGGTGTCTTTGGGTCTGGATTTGTTCCTTGTAGACCTGGAGGAGGAGCTGCTGGGGAGTCTCCACGTGTTGTCAGAGACCCCTCCTCTTGGTCAGCTCCCTGTGACCCCTGTTTCTCAGACTGGGAGGGAAATAAGGGCACACAATTGTGACCATGGAGGTGGCGCAAGGCTGCTAGGAGGAACGGAGTGTCTGCTACAGAACTCAGGGTTTCTTTCATTTACTTTTTTTTTTTTGAGACAGGGTCTTGCTCTGTCACCTAGTCTGGAGTGCAGTGGTGGGATCTCTCCTACCTGCAAACTTTGCCTCCCTGGGTCAAGTGATTCTCCTACCTCAGCCTCCCAAGTAGCTGGGATTACAGGTATGTGTCTAATTTTTGTATTTTTTTCAGTAGAGATGGATTTACCATGTTGGCCAGGCTGATCTCTTGAACTCCTGAGCTCAGGTGATCTGCCCACCTCAGCCTGCCAGAGTGCTGGGATTATAGGCATAAGCCACTGCATCCAGCCTAATTTTAAAATTTTTAACTTTTTTTTTTTTTGAGATAGAGTTTTGCTCTTGTCACCCAGGCTGAAGTGCAGTGGCACTCGGCTCAGTGCAACCTCTGCCTCCCAGATTCAAGCAATTCTCCTGCCTCAGTCTCCACAGTAGCTGGAACTACAGGTATGTGCCACACCCAGCTAATTTTTGTATTTTTTAGTAGAGACAGGGTATTACCATGTGGCCAGGATGTTCTCAATCTCCTGATCTTGTGGTCCATCCACGTTGACCTCCCAAAGTGCTGGCATTACAGGCGTGAGCAACCACACCCGGCCAAATTTTCTCTGTTTGTCTTTAGAGATGAGCTCTTGCTCTGTCACCTAGGCTGGAGTGCAGTGGCTCAGTAATAGTTCACTGCAGCCTTAAACTCCTGGACTCAAATGATCTTCCCACCTCAGCTTTCTGAGTAGGTAAGACCACAGGTGTGCACCACACCCTGCAATGTTTCTACGTTTTTTTTGTAGTAACGGGTTTTCACTATGTGGCCCGGTCTGGTTGAACTCCCAGCCTCAAGTGATCCTACCATCTTGGCCTCCCGAAGTGCTGGAATTACAGGCTTGAGCCACCGTACCTGGCCTTGAGTACAGAATTTCCTTAGGGGGTGATGAAAATGCTCTAAAATCGGTGATGGGTGTGCACTAAAGTGTGAGTGATATCTCAGCAAAGTTGGTTTATTTAAAACAACAACAGGCTGGATGAAGTGGCTCATGCCTGTAATCCCAGCACTTTAGGAGGCCAAGGTGGGTGGATAATCTGAGGTCAGGAGCTTGAGACCAGCCTGGCCAACATGATGAACCCCTGTTTCTATTAAAAGTATGATCCCACCTGCTCCGAGTAGCACTTTATGAGCCCCAGTTATTTCTGGGGTCCTCAAATGAAACCTCCCAAGTCATACCCAAGTCATACCCAACATGTGCCTCCTCCCCTTTTCTAGCCCCGGCTGGGAGATGCTGAGTGATAGAGGCTCAGGCTTTGGGTGTTCCTGGCAAAGCCTCACCCCAGGAGCCCCACAGCTCAGGCCCAGTCCATGGTTCACATGGCCCCATTTCATCCTCTTTTTCCCTTGAGAGCAAGTTTGTCCCTGGGAGATCCTGGATCCCTCATTCAGGTGCAGTGCTGTAGGGCAACACTTCTTCCTGGGGTGACCCAGGCCTGCAGTGTCCCAGTGTCACTGGCAGGCCTTGACCTGGCCTCCACCTAAGCCCCTGCTCCTCCTCTCCCACAGGGAACATGACATCCTCTTCCTAGGTTACACCCACCTGCAGAGGGCCCAGCCCCATCACTGGAGCCACTGGATTCTGAGGTGAGCTGGGTGAGTTGCTGGGGCTGTACTGGATGGGAGGACCCTGGCTGTCCTGACCCTCCTGCCCCTGGCTTTCCACAATGGTGCCATGGTGCTGACCCTAGACTCTGAGCAGCTGCTGGAGGTTCGGAAGCTGATTGGTGTCCTGCCCCTGGGGAGGTGGGTGAAACTCCAGTGCCCTAAGGGCCTGGTGGGTGTGGCTGCTGCATAGCCCAGGGATTCACACATGAGCTGGGAAGGGCAGAGAGAGTTAGAAAATCAGGTTATCTGCTCAGAGGGGGACCCTGCATGGATTCCCAGGTCTTGCTAAGGTGGGGACGTCCAAGCCAGTGAATGTGTCTGAGCAGGGCTGGCCTTAGCGTAACACACTTAGCGTAATCCAAACTATGGGGAAATGACCTGATTTATTCAATAAATGGACTACAAGGGACAGCACAGAGATCAAAGTGGGAAGTTGGTCAGGATCAAGAAAATCCTAAGAGGTGAAGAGACTTTATTTGGATCCTGATTCACACAATAAATACATGAAATGACTGGAAATTTGGAGCTAGAAGGAGAGTTGACAGTGATAAAGAGCAATGGTGTGAGATGGTTGATGATGGTATTGGGATTATTATATTTTTTAAAGAGTTCTTGTCTCCGGGCACGGCGCTTCACACCTATAATCTCAGTAGTGTCGGAGGTCAAGATGGGAAGATCCTTTGAATCCAGGAATTCTAGACCAGCCTGGGCAACATAGCAAGACCCTGTGTCTACTAAAATACAAATTAAAAAATTAGCTTGGCATGGTGGTGTGAGTCTGTAGTTGCAGCTACTCAGGAAGCTGAGGCAGGAGAGGCCACAGTGAACCAAGATCATGCCACTGAACTTCAGCCTGGTTGACAGAGACCTTATCTTGAAAGAACAAACAAGAATTGTATCTTTTACAGACATATACCAAGAGAGTCAGGGAGGAAATTGTATGATGTGGTAGGAGTATACATGTAACGAGATTGGCCATCAGATAACAAGTATCTGAATCTGCTGCCAAGTAGGTGAAAGTCACCACACTAGCCTCTTGTTCCAAAAAGCTCGAATAGAAAGTTTGTGTAAAAATCCACTTCATGGATTTGTAACAAGCATTGAATAAGATCGTGTATACAGAGTGTTTTATCACCATGGCTTGCAGGTAGTCAGCACACAAACATTGTTTTTAGTTTTGTATAGTCCCTGTCCATTAATCACACCCACAAAAGATATGTTGTTCACACCAAGAGCTCTGGCCCATGGACCTTTGTCCACTTGGTGGTAATTTATTGGAATTTGAGGTTTAGAATGAGGAAATACCAGCCTTCAAAGCCCCAAGCCTACTATGAAATAGCAAAGCCAATGGTCCCAGATGCCTTCGTAGCACACCTAGTAAGTAGGACCATTTTTCTCTCACCTTGTTTCATTCACTCATTTTTCATTCATTTCTTATATGCCATGTATTGGGTACTAGGGATCCGTAATACAGTTGGCCCCTAATTGAATGGAAGCATCACTTTCAAAGTATCATTGCAGGATGAGTATTTTGTGTCAAGTGGATTCAAGGGACAGTGCGAAGGATCCATGGCCTCAGTCATGAAGACTCTCCCAAGAGCCAACCGTCCTGGGCACATATAAATGAGTGGAGACATGGAACTCACCCTTACAAGGCCTAGAACTTGACAGAGCATACAAGACAGAAGCCCAAATAACCAAGAACAGGAAGCTGAAGGTGAGAGGTGGGCCCCAAAGGATTCTGTGAAAATGCTTTGTGTTTGTGGATTTATCATGCCGAATGAAACCTTTGTTTTTATTCACAGGTTAGATACACTCTATATATAGAATCTATGAAGGGACATTTCTGGGTTTTTTGAGGCCTATGGTGAAAAATGGAGTATCTCAGGCCACTAATAATGCAGTCACCGAGAGGGGCAGGGTGGCCACAGATGGCCAGCAGCAGGGATGGGCATTGTGAGCCTTTGGGTGGGGTTGTGGGAAGTGGCATTGTGAGCCACTGGCCTGACTTTGTTGTTTCCTGGTAACCAGGTGACATAGGAGGCTTTGTGGGTAACAGGCATCAGCCAGGGCCAGCAGCCTTCAGTCAGAAGCTGATGGAGGAGGAGGAGCTCCGACTATTCTCACGGAAGTATTTGTGCCCTTGTGGCTTGCTCTGTTGCAGCACTTTGGGAGGTCAAAGCAGGTGGACCGCTTGAGTCCAGGAGTTAGAGACCAGCCTGGACAACATGTTGAAACCCCATCTCTACAAAAAAAATACAAATTAGGCACAGTGGTGGATGCATATAGTTCCAGTTACTCAGGAGGCTGAAGTAAGAAGATGGCTTTAGTGTGGGACGTGAAGATTGCAGAAAGCTGACATCACAACACTGCACTTCAGTCTTGGCCTATCTGAAAAAAATTGTATACTTTATTGAATCATTTATATATGATTGTTATTTTTGATTACATATTGTTTAGTTCACTACTTTAAAGCCTGCTTTATTATTTCTTAATTTTATTGACTCATTTGTGCCTTAGTCTGTTTCATTACAAATTATTGTTTAGTCACTACCTTGGAGCCTGTTTTCTTTTTTAAAAAATTTTATTACACTTTAAGTTATGGGGTACGTGTGCAAATGTTGCAGGATTGTTGCATAGGTACACACATGCCATGGTGGTTTGATGCCTCCATGTCCCCATTACCTACATCAGGAATTTCTCTTAATGTTATACCTTCCCAACCTCTCCACCCCCAACTATCCCTTCCTTAGTCCCACACCCCCCAACAGACCCCAGTGTGTGATGTTCCCCTCTCTTGTGTTCATGTGTTCTCATTCTTCAACACCTACTTAGGACAGAACATGTGGTGGTTGGTTTTCTTTCCTTGTGTCGGTTTCCAGATTCATCCATGTCCCTGCAAAGGACATGAACTCACCCTTTCTTAAGACTGCATACTATCCCATAGTGTATATGTGCCACATATTCTTTATTCAGTCTATTATTATTAATCGGCATTTGGGTTGGTTCCAAGTCTTTGCTATTGTAAACAGTGCTGCAATGAACATATGTGTACATGTGTCTTTGCACTAGTCCTCTCGTGTAACTCTCCAGGTCTGGCTCCTGCCTGTGGTAGACACCTTTCCAGGCCAAGCATTGGCTTTTTGGCTTCCTATTTCAGCTCAGAACATTTTCAAGTCAGCCTCTCTGGTCTCAGCTCTTCCTCCTGGCTGCATCTACAGGCCCAACTCCTGCCTCACAACAACATTTGGCCCAGCTCCTGCTCAGCTTCTAGCAGTCTGTGTAGGCTCCAGCCTTCCTCAAGTTGGGCTTTCCAGGCCCACCTTTGGCCTCCCAGTGGCCTGGACAGACCCACCCTGCCTACCAACAGGTAGGCCCAGCTCTTACCCTTGATGTTGGCCTCCCCAGGCCATTTCTGCCTGCCTGCGTGCCTGCCTCATGGCAGCTCCTGGCTCTCTGATGGCCTCTTTAGGCACATGTCATGCCTCACCATGGCCTCCCCAGGCTGATGGAGGCTCCTGTTTTTCGGCATCCTCTGCAGGCCCAGCTTGTTCCTCACTAGACGATTTAGGCCTGCACGCCCGCTACTCAGAAGCTTTTGGTGGCCTCTCCAAGCCCAGCTCATAAGCTCATTCCTTTGTGGCCTCTCCAGGCCCAGGTACTGCTTTCTGGAATCCATTCTGGGCAAGCTTTTCCTCATGGCTTCATCTACAGGCCCCCCACCTGCCCTGCAACAACCTCTGTGAACTTGGCTCCTTGTGGCATTTGTAGACCTGAAAGGTCCTGAAATCAAGCTCTCCAGGCCCACACAGCTCATGCCTCATAATGGCATCTCCAAGATCAGCTCCTGCCCTGCTCAAGTCAGCTTCTATTCGCCTGGCTCCAGCTTCCTCCTGGTGGCCTCAGAGGTTTACATGTTCCTAAAGTTGGCCAATTTTGGCCCAGGTCCTGCCATCCTGGTGGCCTCTCTGGTTGCAAAACCTCCTCACTTTGGCCCCTCCAGGGTGAGCTTCTGTCTCTCAATGACCTCATTGGGCCCAGCTCCTGCCTCCCAACATCCTTTGTGGACTCAGCTCCTGCCCAGCTTCTGATGTCCTCCATAGGCCTGAAAGGCTCATGGTTGCCTCCCCAGGCTCAGCTCCTGCTCTCTGTCAGCATCTACAGGCCCCAAACTTCCACAAGTTGGCTTCTCTTGGCTTGGCTCCAGCCTTTCTCCAGTGGCCTGGGCAGGCCCAAATGGTCCTGAAGTCAGCCTCTCCAGGCCCAGCTCCTGCCTGACAGTGGCCTCTCCAGGCCCAAAGCCTCCTCTTGTGGGTTTGTCCAGGCCGGCCCTTCCAGGACCAGCCTCTGCTTCCTAGTGGATACAGGCATGCAATGTGTAATAATCACATCAGGGTAAATCGGATACTCCTCATCTTAAGCATTTATTTTACTTCTTTATTTAACAAGCAATTCAGTTATGTTCTTTTCCTTTTTTCTTTTTCTTTCTTTCTTTTTTTTTTTTTTTTTTTTTTTTTTTTTTTTTGCACTGGAGTGTAGCTCTTTCTCCCTGGCTGGAGTGTAGTGTTCCAATCTCATCGCACTGCAATGTCTGTCCCCAGGGTTGAAATTATTCTCCTGCCTCAGCCTCCTGAGTAGCTGAGACTAATTTTTGTATTTTAAGTAGAGACAGGGTTTTGCTATGTTAGTTAGGCTGGTTTCAAACTCCTGGCAGGTGATCCTCCTGCCTTGGCCTTCCAAAGTTCTGGGATTGCAAGCATAAGCCACCACACCTGGTCCCTTTTAGCTATTTTTAAATAAGTAAATTATTGTACTACCAAGTACTACATCTTATTCATAACTGTATTTTTGTATTCATTAATTATTTCTGTGAACCCCCTCCAGCCCACTATTCTTTCCAGCCTCTGGTAACCTTCATCCTACTCTCTATCTTTATGAGTTCAATTGTTTTAATTTTTAGCACCCACAAATGACTGCGAACATGCAAAATTTGTCTCTCTGACTTATTTTAGTTAATAAAATAATCTCCAGTTCTACTCATGGTGTTGCAAGTAACAGGATTCTATTATTATCATGGCTGAATAATATTCCATTGTGTATATGTACCACATTTTCCTTATCCATTCACCTGTTTTTTTTTTTTTTTTTTGAGACCGAGTTTTGCTCTTGTTACCCAGGCTGGAGTGCAATGGCGCGATCTCGGCTCACCGCAACCTCTGCCTCCTGGGTTCAGGCAATTCTTTTGCCTCAGCCTCCTGAGTAGCTGGTATTACAGGCACGTCCCACCATGCTAGAGACGGCGTTTCACCATGTTGACCAGGGTGGTCTCAATCTTTTGACCTTGTGATCCACCCACCTCGGCTTCCCAAAGTGCTGGGATTACAGGCATGAGCCACTGCGCCTGGCCCCATTCACCTGTTAATGGACACTTAGATTGCCTCCAAATCTTGACTATTGTGAATAATGTTGCAGCAAATGTAAAAATGTAGATATTTCTTTCATATACTGATTTATTTTCTTTTGGGTATATACCCAGCAGTAGAATTACTGTGTCATAAAGTAGCTCTTTTTAGTTTTTTGAGGACTGTCCAAACCATTCTCCATAGTGGTTGCACTAATTTACTATCTCACCAAAAGTGTAACAGGGTTCCCTTTTCTCCACATCCTCATTAGCATTCGTTACTGCCTGTCATTTGGATATAAGCCATTTTAACTGGGATTGCATGATAGTTCATTGTAGTTTCTATCAGTGATGTTGAGCATCTTTATGCCATTTGTATGTTTTCTGTTGAGAAATGTCTATTTTGATCGTTTGGCCATTTTAAATCAGATTATTTGCTTTTTGTTCTATTTTTGTTTTTACCTAAGCTCATTATATACTCTAATTATTAATCCCTTGTCAGATGGATTCAGGATTGTGTTTTGTCTTTATTTTACACTCAATTCTAAACCATTGAATGGTATCAAGTGGAGAATTGACATATTAGTATTGGAAGATGACTTTGTGTATTTGCTACCTATTGCTGTGTAACATACTGGTCAGGTGCGGTGGCTCACACCTGTAATCCCAGCACTTTGGGAGGCCAAGGCAGGCAGATCACGAGGTCAGGATTTCAAGACAAGCCTGGTCAAAATAATGAACCCTTTCTTTACTAAAAATACAAAAATTAACCAGGTGTGGTAGCTCACACTTATAATCCTAGCTACTCAGGAGGCTGAGGCAGGAGAATCACTTGAACCTAGGAAGTGTACGTTGCAGGATTGTGTCACTGCACTCCAGCCTGGGAGACAGAGTGAGACTCCATCTGAGAAAACAAACAAACAAACAAAAAATACCACCCCAAATTATACAGTTACAATGATACTCATTAGTCTTCTCATAATTCTGGAGGCTGACTAGACTCACCTAGGCAGTTCTGGCTCAGGATGTGGTTGCCTTTAAACAGTATGGAGTTAGAATACTGTCAAAGGTTTTCTTGCTCAAGTAACTCCTGGTTAATGTGGGCTGTCAGCCAGGGAATCAGCTGGGGCTATCTGGTGGAATACCCACACGTAACCTCCCTACATGATCTGGGCTGTCTGACAAAATGATGAATGGGTTTTAAGCACACCCACCCCAGGAGGGAGAGCCAAGTGGAAACAGTATCATCTTTTATGACCTAACTTTGTCAGGTCATGAGCAACAATTCACTTTATTCTGCTTACAGAAGCAGGGGACTATGGTCATTTTCAAGGGAAGAGAAACTAAATTAAAAAAAATTGAGGACAACTATTCACAATAGTGGAGAGATGGAATCAACCTAAGTTTTCTTCCCTTGATGGAAAAAAGAATAAAGAAAATGTGGCAGCCAGGCACAATGGCTTACACCTGTAATACCAGCACCTTTGGAGGCCAAGGTGGGCAGATCATCTGAGGTCAGGAGTTTGACACCAGCCTGGCAAACATGGCAAAACCCCTTCTCTACTGAAAATACAAAAAGCCAGGTGTGGTGGTGCATACCTGTAATCCCAGCTGCTTTGGGAAGCTGAGGCAGGAGAATCACTTGAGCTTGGGAGGCAAAGATTGCAGTGAGCTGATATTGCACCACTGCATTCCAGCCAGGGTGAGAGAGTGAGACTCCATCTCAAAAAAAAAAAAAGTGCAACATGCAGAAAATGCTTTATGTAATCAAAATAAATCAGAGGATAAAAGAAGTATATTAACGCAACTGAAAAAAGCTGTGGAGATTAGGTTGTCAATTGACCCTGAGTTAACCTTAAAAAAAAAAAAAACGGCTGGGCACGGCGGCTCATGCCCATAATTCCAGTGCTTTAGGAGGCTGAGGTGGGAGAAAAGCTTGAGGCCAGGAGTTTGAGAAAAAGCCTGGGCAACACACCAAAA